ACATTTTTAAGTTTTTAAGCATTATTTGTTGTGGAGCGTAATGTCTGACCATGATTACTATCGCGGTGCTTGGAGATTCGCTTAAAACCTTGACAACTTTGAAAATGGTTTGTTGATATCATACAGCTACGTGCAATACCGCTGATTCAAGAGAGCGTATTTAGCAGATAAGACGTCGTGAATAAACAAAAAATTGCTTAGTTTTAATCTTTCTAGTATTTTGAGAATACTTGCTCACTGAACTTGAATCCGCCAAATATTCAAGTTATTGGTGATTCTACCTCTGCATATATTGGAAATGAAACAATCAGCAGCCATAGAAACTAATTAAAAAATGATTTTTAAGGTCATTCGATAATGATGTTTGAAATGTAAGCATTGTCACAGTAACAAGAATTCTGGTAGAACGCCGACGAGTAGCTTTTGATAAACTAAATTCAACATCATACATTTACAAAGCGATGGTCATTGACAATTACGCCACATCTACAGACAGTGATTAAAGCGACATTTTGGTATTGAAGTGGTAGAAATTTAGCAGAAAGTATAAGTCTAGAAGTATCGGAAATGATTCAGGAGGAGCAGAAAAATTTGACCTGAGAAGTAGAGATAAATTATCGGCGAGTAGAAGCTCGTTTGGGGATGGGCACATTTAAATGTAGTGGCGCTCTGAACGTTATGTGTTGCATCTATTTCCTCCTTTGTTGCTGCATTTAGGATTATGGAAAGTATGGAATGTACGGCATCATCTGCAGCGCCAGTTACTGCAAAGTCACCCTTTGCACACCTTTACAAACAAAAAGGGTTAGATTGGAAAAGCGAGTTCAGGAAGGTTCTAGTTTAAACATTTTTTTTCACATTTTTCTGCTAAGTTATTTCTTCCTGGTTTGGTAGATAACTTTTCGTTAAAATTTCTAAAGCGCTTTATTTACTGATTTTTATGATTGTAGGGAGTTAATCGGCGTCTGCGAAACTCGCGTAATAATTTGGTAGATCGGTTCCGTAAAATGAACGTGCAGGAGAAGAAGGACTTTCTTGACTCTGTTGTTCGAGAAGATCTCTTAGAAGGCTGGGACAAACGAATGACTCCTGAAGAATTAGACAGAGCTATTGCAGAATATGAGGAATTTAGAGAGGAATTTTTACAACAGGGTCTGTTCTGTAAGATTTTTTTACTTTTTTTTGTTTTTTACCGAAAATGGTTTGTCTTGAAAATGAAATTTTTAACTTTAGAGTTTGACGACGTTCTAATGGCTGAAGAAGAGTGCCTTCTGGAAGAGATATCGTGCCATTTTGATTCAAATAGGGTTTTGTGCCCGTGTTGTAAGGTAATTCAATTTTGTAATGGTTTTCTGACTGAATAGTTTTATTTGTTTTTTCATTTACAGGATCTAAAAAATTGTATTTATGTTTGCGTTTTTTCTATGCGTTCCATGTTTCAGAAGTCTCTTCTTTCGTTCCCAGATAAAAGGTCATTTTCTTGCTGGATGTGTTCATATTTAATTAAACTACCTTACGACTTACCTTCACCACCTCATCTTTTGAAGACTTTTGAAGACATATTTTCTGCTCACTCAGGTATGGAGTGTTTAAATCCACTCGAAGTTTTTGTGGAGGATAATCAAATGATTTTTTTTTGTACTTTGTGTAGCTTCAGTGAGGAACTCATTTTAAGAAAGTAGCACTTGTGCAGAGTTATGATTTTTTTGTATCCTAGTAAGTTATTTCGCTTTTTTTAATGGCACTGTACTGTTCTGAATTTACGTGTATTGTTTAGAAATTTTTGCTTACTGTTAAGGCAAGCTTTTTTTGCTGTTACCTTTATTGTTTTAGTTTCAATGGTCTTTTTTCAAATAGGACACATATCTGTCGTTTGGTTGTATATATGCGCTGTCTTATAAATTTTTTTATTTTTCAGCAATTATTAGATGAGTGAGAATGAAGCGAGCTGTTTTCGTTCTTAGACGATACATCATGCCGTTTTAACCTTATGGTTTTTTATCATCTAGACTGTGATTATAAGAATGAAATTATCATTTGAGCAGAAGAAAATGAGGATATAAACACTTTTGAGAGAAATGATTTGGATCACTGAAGAAAAACGGTGTAGAAGTTTTGGAAGTTGCTGGGGTCCTGTGGATGCTCTTCACTTTTGTCTTCTCTTCCGTTTTTTATTACATTGTTCAGAGTGGGTTTTATCGGAATGTAAATGTAAGGGCATTTTGAAAGGGCTTCACGATTAAAAACCTGAAGACACAGCTATGAAATGGCATTGTCTTATCAAGATTAGAAGTTTTTGTTTATGACAGTACAATAGATTAAATCTGTTGTTCATTTGAGAGCGCAAGTTGACTGGATAGATGTGCCTTGGAAAAACTAATTTGTCGAGTGCGTGACGAGTGACGAATGCAGCAATAACAAAAATGACATAATCACTAAACTTATATCACATTTGTCGTAATCATTTTTACATGCAGGTTATGCGTTTTTATGTCGTGTGGTTCGTGTTGCTGAATTTCGTCTGTTTGTTTTTTCTTCCCAACTTCATTTTTATTTCATTTTCGTAATTACTGCGGAAGTTGGCTATTGGTTATGTTAGTTATTGCCATTCGGTCATTGATAAATATATTTAAAGGTCATCGTTTCAAATAAGCAGTTTACTTATTGTTTGGATGTGGTATGTATAGAGGTCAAAGACTCTGCTTAGACGTTCAGTTTTATGCGAGAAAAAAATTGAGTGTTGCTGAAAAATGGGATTGCCTCACAGATATTTGACCTAAAAGTTCAATTTTGGATTTAAGAATTCGAGATGAGTGAGGCCTGGGAGTGCTGGGTCGTGCAGCAGGTGGCATTTTCTAGAAGGCTTGAGATAATAACTGAAGTCATTTCAGAATTTTGATTTTTTGAGAGTTTTGATTGCACCGAGGAAAATACGTTTTATTTTTAAGCGAAGAGTTACCGTGAAATTAGGGGAAAGTTTAAATTAGGGTAAAAAACGTTAATGTCGGTAAATAAGTGCTATCAGCTTTCACAAAAAATAGCTATTAGTTCTAAACAGTTTTCTTTTGTAACCATTTTGGTAGAGATTTTCATGCTGCGTTGCTACGAATGTTATTTCTAATGTATTTGCAAGTTGTTTCAAGTTAATAATAGTACCTTACATTGTAAGATTTAAGCAATTCTTGAAGCTTTTGCCTTTTGTCGTAGTTTAGGCGTTGTTTGTCAGTTGTGAGAAACAAAGATATATTAATAAATAGTTCGCAAATAACATAGAAGAAATGATTTACTACACTGAAACTTTGGCAGAACAGAACAGTTGATCGATGTGATGTCCCTGCTGATCTCTTACCGAGGTCTTCAAAGTCATTAATTTGAAAACAGTTCCGGTTTGGGAAATGTTTTGGAGTAATGAAAGTTGAAATTTACGCCTTAACAACATTTTTAGACAATGTTTAGCAAACTCGGAAGTTTAGGAGTATTTCAAATTATCCTGAAGTGTTTCAGCTTGAGCGGTTTTTTTCATACTTTACAGTGCAGGCAGTTCTACCGTATCTTTAGCAACTGATTTGCTCTAAGTTTTCAATGATACATATTGCCTCCAGTAGAAGTAGCAGCTAAGTTTTTTTTTTAAACTACTTATCGTATCATTTATTGAAATGCAGTCTATCAATGAGACAGGAAATATCTTAATCATTTTACTTCACAGGGCACAGCTGAGTGCTTTAAGCAGGTGCGCGAAGCTGTCGAGGAGCAACCTCAGGATATTTTCTTCACCTTCTATCACTAATTTTTTGTTTTGTTGAAATTCGATACAATGTATGTCGTCAATTTTTTCACAGCAGTAAATGAGAACCTTTCTGCATAAAAAAAAAATTCGTTTAAGGTTACTGCAGAAAGATCAACTGTTGCAGTTGAAAAGATTGTCAGTTTTTGCTTACACAAAAATATTTTTATTTTTGCTCTTTTACAACTTTTCTTTTTAATATTATCTATTTTTTACCTCATTAAATACCTATTATTAAATTGTTATTTGGATTACAGAACAGTAAATTATTTGTTTTATTTGACGTTTCTTGTTTATTTTTAAAGAGAGCATTTCTCAGTCATGCTAGCATATATCATTAGTTGAAACAGTACTGAAGGCTTTTTGTTTAGGAATTGTTGCCAAGAAATCATTAATTTTTGAAAGTCTTTTTATCTACCGGCTGTTATGGGAAAAACATACAAAAATGTAGCATACTATGGAAAAAGACAAGTTGTAGATGAGCGATGATGAATGAGGGCCAAAACACCAACTGGCTGGTCAATTGTTGATCGTCAATATACCTGAAGAAAGAGTACGGGCTTTTTGGCTATGACATTCTAACGGGGTAAAAGGAAGTGTGTGCTCGTTTATTGAAACAAATATCGTTTAGACAAAGTGGATTTGTTAATAGAACAAAATTGGATACTTTTTCACTGCAACTGGACACTTTTGGCACATTTTTGCGTAATTAGCAGCAAATCAACAAACAAAAATGCTCTGATTAGACGGTTGATGTGATAACAAACGTCATTATGTTTTAACTTTAACAGTAATGATGGCTTAGAAAAAAAAAAAAAATTATTTTTTTTTAGCACATTACACTTCTGTTTATTTATTCTACATCCATTTATAGAAACAATCAGAAAGAAAAAAAAAAAGAAAACTACAATTTTATTTTATACGTCAACTGTGACTGCTGAATTGTCAAATGAGCTGTACGTTTTGTAACAAACACATATTGCAACTCAAAAAATGACTTTGGTTTTTAACTGCTTTTTAAAAGAAATCTTGCAAGCATTTTGTTTGAAGACTTTTTAGTATGACAGAGTAAAATTGAAAACTGGGGAAAAAAAATCTGCTTTAAAGACTCGAAATGAGGTTTCTCTCAACGGCTCCAGCAACAAACTTGGCGACAATCATACATTTCAACAGGCAGACATATAATACGGTATCAATAACATGCGAAGAATTTATGCCTCTCATTCCGACCGAATAAATT